GAATTTAGAAATTATCGCATTTAAAATTTCTTTATTTCTCATTTTCAATTTTTTTTTTTCAAGTCATTAATTATTATTTATTAATTTAATTTTTTTTTTTGAAATTTAATTTCTTTTAAATGAAACTGGTCGAAAACAATGGTTATTAAATTTCTTTTTTGCATGGACATTTGAAATATTTTCAAGTTTTATAGCTTTAAAATAATTATTAAATTGTTTCACCTTAAGAATTTTCAATGAATAATAATAATAAATTTATGAAATAAATATTAAAAATTACGATTCAAATAAAGTAAGAATCTATAATTCGAAATAGGTCATCACGCATCATCTGAGAGGGTCGCCAAACGTTTCGTATGTTTCCTAGAGAACCACTGGATTCGAATTGAAGAACCAAACCACTGGATTAAAATCAACGGGAAATCACCAAGCTCGCTCGATAAAGGAAAAGTATCGCTATTATGACTTTTATAATTTTCAGCAAATTTAATTGAAATTATCCTGAAAATATTGCTAATGGAGAAGAAAGGCACGTTGATGGCTCAGTGGCGAAATAATTGTCACCGGAAATCGCAGCATGAGTTCCATTCTTCTGCCACTCTTCGTCAGAAGGCAGTGTTACCAGAAAAACAAGGGCGAATAGAATGGCTCATTGGGCTTTCGCTTAACTCGAAACACTGATGCTGAGATTCTACTCGTGACAAGAATAAAATTATCCAAGAATCTGGCCTGGCTATGCTGGGCAACTCATTGGTACTTCTATCACCGAGAAAATATATATCTAATGCGACAAGCCAGAGGAACGAGTCTAACCAGTAATGGTGAGTGCTTTTCAAAAATTAATGGAAGAGAAAAATAGATTTTTATAAAAAATTCTTTTATTTTTTATAGAAAATTTTTAAAAAAATGAAAAAAATTTCATAAAAAATCAATATTTATAAAATTTTTATAAAATCAATAAATTAATTTTAAAATTTTAATATTAGTATAAAATTAAAAATTGATATTAATAGAATTAATAATTAATAAATATTAATATTATCGTAATTCATATCCTCTTTAATTATTCAAATCCTCTTCTATATTCCATATGTATTAAATTTTTTTCATTTATAAAATCGATTAAAGTGACATGTGACCTCTTTTGACCTTTAGCTTTCTGTAACTCACTTGTTCGTCTTCCAGAATTCTTCGAAGTTCTCTCCCACTGCCCCTCCGTCCTTCTCCCCACTCCTCCTCCACCTAATTTACCTTTATTATTCGGAGTCTTCTCAGAATTTTACTGTCACCTCGTTCTGCCACCATTCTTCATGTTTAAATTTTCGCATGGGTTACTATTCGACCCAAGTAACTCGCTTTTATTTTTTCGGCGAATAAAATTTATTTTATAATTTAAATATTTAATAATTTAAAAATTATTCAAATTTATTAAGGCATTTTAATGGATTTCCATTATTTCAATTTGGTTTTTTTATTTGAAAAAAAATTTTTTTCTAAATTTTTTTTTTTTGGTGTAATTTATATTTATCTAAAATTTAAAAAATGAATTGTTAGAGCTTTAATGTTCGTGTATTCCTCGATTTTTTTTTCACTTTCGTCTTTATATATTTTTTTTAAACTAAAAGGTTTTTTGCAAGAAGTTCGTGAAAAACAATTCGCAACAACTCTTCTAGAGGCCGAATTTTGCTCGGAGGCTGAATTTCATTGGACGAGAGTGGAATTGAGGCGAAAGTTACTCCGAATTTTTTGCTCGAATGAGGTTGTTAATTTTTTTTTCGTTTAATTAGGTTATTACTTTTATTATCATTCATTAACTTTGAATGGTTCTTACGAAAAATCAATAAAATTATGGTTTTATTGATTAGTTTCGATGGGTGCTGGGAACCTGTTTTTCAAAAGCCTGGGTAATGCTGGCGTCTCGTCACATTCTTAATTTATATCATCAAATGACTCGAAATTTATTTCGTTCGATAAACCAGCGGATAGAGCGGCATAAATAGGCTTTAAATAAGGAAAATGGAGGAAAATCTTAGAAGAAAAAAAAAGGAAAAGGAAAATCTTAGAAGAAAAAAGAAAGATTTATCTAAACTGATTGATTTCTTTAAGAGTGTTTGGTTGGTTTCCTTTATAATTCATTAAAAAATATAATTAATAATAATAAATATATAAATATAATTTCAAAAATATAATTAATAATAGTAGTATTAATAATAATAATGATAATAAATGTTTTGTGGACTTTTAATGTTATATTTAATATTAATATTTATATTTTTTTTTGCGTAAAATCTTATCCCACTTAATGCGTTTATTTTGTCGGAAGCCAATGGAAGCCCACTCATTTCCGTGCCCTTTAATTGCATATATCGCTAAGCCTAAGCCTATATGTCTCTTCTGATTGTATCAGTTCAGTTCTTTCTCTTTGTCTTCCTCAAAAAGCTTTTAACGCCTTTCATTGCAACATTTAGCGAAATATGCTGCAAATTTTGTGATGAACAACGGATAAACTGGCCTAGCTAAGCGCATGCGACGCTCTGTGACAATATTGTTAATATAAGTGGTAGCTAAACGAATCTGGATGCATTTTTGCGGGTTTTTATTCGTTTACCAAAAATTTAGATATAAATAGTTGAGGAGTTTAGATGGCTTCTTAATATCTTCCATTATAAATATTAGCCATTTCTTTGCAGCTAATATTTAAATGGTGCGATGGTGCGCACTGCACTAAATTAGGTATAAATTTTTGTTCTGGTGATTTAGCAACGAATCCATAGGCGTTCTTCTAGACGAATAAACGCATTTTTATCTGTGGTCATTCGGGTTGTCTTTCTATTTTATCCTCATCTTCGATCAGATTTATAGCTAGTCTACTATGAAAATATTCTTTTAGAAGCAAAAATGATAAATCGGTGAGGAATATTTTATCGTTATTTACTGATGTTGAGAAAGTTGGAGAAATATAACTGTGCTATTGATTGTAAATAACCTAATAACTAAGGTTTAAGGATAAATTTTAAGGTGTGATTAGGAATTATTAAAAATATTATGGCTGATAAGTGTACAATGACATAGTAATACATTGGTGCATTAATAAATTATAAAATGGATGGAACAATTTTAATGAATTTGTAGTCATTTTAATATTCGTAATATTATGCTAAATTATTAAAAAATTAATATTAATATTAGATTATTTAAAAATACGAGAAGTGGCGCATATACTTCTCTAATTCTCAGATCGAATAACCAAAGGGATGAATATTTGATTGAATGTTTGATCAAAGATGGCATAAAAAGAATGATTGGCAAGAAAAAAAATTAAGAGCAATTGTTTTTTAAACTCGAGCATATTAATAATGATTATAATCATAATAATGAATAATAATAACAATAATAATAATGATAACATTAATAATAATGATAATAATAATGATAACAATAATAATAATCATAGGCTTCGTCTGAGAATATATATTTTAGAGGAGAGAGTTTCGTAGCTAAAACAACTAATGACTGCTAATGATTATTTCTGCTAAAAGCTTAAGAGATTTTTCAAGAGTAGAAAAATAATAATTATACTAAGATTAACAAAATGCTTTCGAGGAAAAATATGCATTGATTGTTTGCTACAATTTAAAAATCCTTTAAAAAAATTTTCTTTAGATGAATATTGGAACGGATTCGAATGCACAATATTTTAATTTAATAGCTCGATGCTTTAGCAATAAAATGGTTATATTTATAGGGAATAACTGAGCTCAAATGAGGATTTTTGAAAAATATAAGGCAAATATTTAGCAATTTAAGGGATAAATAAATTTTCGGATGCAGATAATTAGCCTAATTTGTTCTATTTCTAATGGCATTCTTTTATAGGTGCAAATACAACAACCATTTTTGCATTTAAAGTCGTATAGAAAATAAATAAAAATAAGAAATAATATTAATTATTTTATTTTAATTATTTGCTTATATTTATTTGTATTTTATTTATAGTTATATTTACATTTTATTAAAATGTAGTATGATTTTTTCAGAAATTAAAAATCAGAATTTTGAATTTACAATTTAATTAATTACGCAGTAATTCCTCGTAAATCTTCAGAGATTTATAAGATTTAAGTTGAAAAATGAGTATATAACATAAATTAATAAATTATGTTTTTATGCGTTCGAAAACCCAGCATGAAAGAATTTGTAATATTATTTGTAATATTTTAAAAGTAGTTTTTGATTCATATTTAATTTTAAAATCCTCACTATATTGTTAAATTTAATAATATTAATAAAATATTAAATATTATATTAAAATTTATGGTAGAAAATCTTTTTAGGTGTGATGAATTTTCACTGTTATTCCATAAATGATGGAGTTCCTCTCCTGGCAGGAATAAATCTTTAAAAAATTCAGGTGGTGTTGGTGGCTCATCTATCGCCAAATGACAAAATTTATTTGACAGATTAGCGAAATGAGCCTAAACCGAAATGATGAGCGTTTCTAGAAAAAGAAATTGTAAAAAATTTTAAGGCTAAAGAGATGCAAATATTTAGCTAATCTAAGAGGAAATGAGTTAATGATAATTATCAAAATAATTAATCAATTGATTTGGGTTTTATTATTATTTTTTTTGTTTATTTTATATTTAGTTTCTTTTGATATTTTATATATTTTAAATTTAAATAATATAAATTAATACTTAAAGGAAAAATTGCGTGGTTCATTGTTTTTTACTTTTACTTTTAGGTTTTGATTAGTTTAGTTAGTTTAGTTAAATTCGACTAATCGGTTTTTTTTATTTATTTTTTCTTCATAATGTTCTTTTATTTTTTTCGTCATTTTTTTAATAAATTTTTTTCCGTTAGTTTTTAGAGATTTGAATTGCAAATAAATATCACTTAAATATGCTACTTCCTTATTATAAAAATAATTTTTAAAGATTTAATTTGAAAAAAATACAATAAAAAATTGATGAATTTTTTTTATTTTTAGTGTCATGGTGATGAGTACTGAAGAGGGATTTTCTGCTCCAATTTTGCCAAATTTGCCAGTTTCAATATCAACAAACGATCTCGATCGGTAATTTTTTTGAGTTTTTTAAGCCATTGTTGACTGATGGTTTCTTTTTTTCGATGAATTTTTATTAATATGAATAGGCATTAAATCATATCAAATCCAATTATTGTTTTTTTTGTCAAATTGTCAACGTTGATTTTCATTACACAATTTTATGCTAATTTTATGCATAAGAAGGATTTATTTAAAAAAAAAAAAAATCGACTTAATTCGTTTTGTCATCTAAAAATTCGTAAAAGTGATTTAATTTTTATTTGAAAATTGTTTTTTAAAATTATTTGCAAAAAAAGCTGTAAAATGATTTTCTCAGCCAGATTGAAACGCTTATGAAATGTGAGTGCATATCTGAGCAGGAAGTCAAATCTTTGTGTGCAAAAGCTCGAGAAATTTTATTGCAAGAAGGCAATGTGCAAATTGTTGATTCTCCAGTCACAGTACGTTTATTTTTTTTTTTTCATTTTTGATTTTATTTTCTATATTTAATATTTTATTTATTGTTTGAAGAATTCATTTTTGAATATTTTTTCAAATAAAGATTTCATATATTAAAATAATCTTGAAAGAAAAGAATTAGAATTTAAGGTATGTGGTGACATCCATGGGCAGTTTTATGATTTAATGGAGCTATTCAAAGTTGGTGGACAAGTTCCGGATACAAACTACCTCTTTCTAGGCGATTTTGTTGATAGGGGATTTTATTCTGTCGAGGTATTTTTATTTTTATTATTGTTATTCTAGTAGCATCCATTCTTTCTGGTCTGTTTAGTTCTATTAGTATTAAAATGAGAATTTGTCGGGGTATCATTTGAGGATAGAACTAATTTCCAGCATAGCTTTTAAAGACAGGCTTCCTCTGTTCGAAGATTCGAAACTCGTTCGATTATGCTGTTTCCAATTAGTCATCAAAAAATTCAAATGCGCCTGAAAAGGAAATTGTATTGCAGACTTTTCTTCTGTTACTTGCACTCAAAGTACGCTATCCTGATAGAATGATGTTGATTAGGGGAAATCATGAATCGCGTCAGATTACTCAGGTCTATGGATTTTATGATGAATGTCTAAGGAAATATGGCTCATCATCTGTTTGGAGGTGATTTTTTATTTATATTCACTTTTTTATTTCTAATTTCTTAAAGTTTTTTTAATCTTTTAAAATGAAGATGTTTAGGTGTTGCACTGAAGTTTTCGATTGCCTTAGTTTATCCGCAGTTATCGCGAATAAAGTTTTTTGTGTTCACGGAGGATTATCACCGTCAATACAAACTATGGATCAAATACGATCTATTGATCGAAAACAAGAAGTTCATAGATTTTTAATATATACAACATTTTAATCTTCAGTTTTTATTATTGCTGACTTTGCCATATTTATGGTTATAATTGTTATTTATACAATCGAATAAGTCGTGCACTTCCGATAATAATAAAACAATATTAAAAAGATAAAAATCAAAACTAACTATATTGATCAGCTTGGATTAAAGATGTTTGAATAATATCTTTCCCCTTTATGACTCTTCATTTTTGAAACTATAATAGGTAATAGTAGCATTAGTAGATCATAATATTGGTACCAAAAGGCAGTTCTATATTTAATGGTCTTATAGTCTGCACCTATTTATTGCTATAGGTGCGGCAATGTTGTAGCAATTCTTGAACTTAACATTGGTCTTATAAATCACCTTCAATCATCTGTCCAGGCCAGGTTTAAAGAGAGATTGTAGAAAAGCGAATATTTTACATATCACATTTTTATAATGGTTCATAAATGAATCCACATATTTCGATTTTTAATAATGAAAAAATATAGGATGTGAATTTAAACGACGCTGATATCTGAGATATTAGTTCAAAATTTCAGTTGATCCTTTTAATTCTAATGGAATAATATGTTAATTAGATAGTTTTTAGGTGCCTCATGATGGCCCAATGTGCGATTTATTATGGTCAGATCCAGAAGAAAGTGTTGGATGGGGAGTAAGCCCAAGAGGTGCAGGATATCTTTTTGGATCCGATGTCGCCAAAGCATTTTGTCAAACAAACGGTGTTGATCTCATTTGTCGTGCTCATCAACTTGTTATGGAAGGATATAAATGGCATTTTGGTGATACTGTACTCACTGTATGGTCTGCACCTAATTATTGCTATAGGTGCGGCAATGTTGCAGCAATTCTTGAACTTGACGAACAACTCAATAAAGATTTTACTATTTTTGAGGCTGCGCCTCAAGAAAATCGCGGTGCTCCAACAAAAAAGCCACAACCAGATTATTTTTTATAAATATTGTTTTATCCATTTGTAACACATTTTTTTTTTTCTTGCGCAAAATATTGCACTGTGCTATATCCAGACACTTGAACAATAAAAACATGCGTCTCCATGAATTGTTTCATTTCGACTTTAGTACTTTGGTACTTCATTACACAATTTGTGTAAGGTATATTTTATATTTAACTTTGGTACTTCATTACACAATTTGTGTAAGGTATATTTTATATTTAAGCATAACTACAATGTTATACTTAAATGTTTTGTATGATTTGAAAAATTCATATGAAAATAATTTCGTTTATATAAATTATAAAACATTTTATTGTAATGATAGCGCAATTTTTAGGTAAACGATTGTGAATGCTTTTTTTAAGGCGAAATATTCAGACGGTTCGGGCATTTTGCTCATCAGCACTTAATGATGCGTTACGTAAACGTATTGAGTGCTGTATTACAAGCAAACCGGTTGTTGTATTTATGAAAGGAACAAAAGAAGAACCAAGATGTGGCTTTAGCAAAAATGTTTCAATGGTAATTTCAGTTAATTGTTAGCATTTATTCATTTTCGTTTCTTTAAAAAGGTCGAACTTGGCCATCTTTTACTATTATATAAACAGTCCTCATCATTACTGGTTAAATTCGCCCCACTGGCTTTATATCATCACATTCGGCAATATTCCAGAGAGGTCCCTCGGCGATAGAAATACAGGTGAATCGCCAGCATCGCCATGATTTTTGTACAGGTTTATTCTCGCGGAGAATCGAACCTCGGTATCGGCGCTCCCAATTCAGCAACAACCCAATAAGCCATTAATAATGAGATATTTTTTATTATAGGTGTTGGATTTTCATGAAATAGATTTTGAAGCTTATAATGTATTAGATGATATGGAATTGCGAGAAGGAATAAAAGCGTTTAGTAAATGGCCAACCATTCCTCAGGTATATCCCTTTTGAAATAAAGAAATAAAATCAAAATTTATAAGATCTCAAGAATTCTCAATGATATTTTTCATTAGAATTATTTTAGGCACTGCATAAATCATCATTAATCAAACTGCATTTTTTTGAGACCACAAATATATAAATATAATGATTTACAGGCAGTGAAAAAAATGATTAAAATTGATAAACATAGTTTATGCGAGGGAAAAATATAATATAATACTTATATCTACTATTTGATAACAAAAAATCCACAATAATAATACAGCTAGAAGTTAAAATCGTTAATAATTGCCAACAATTAGTCAAATTCTTTAATTTCATAAATAATAACTGCATAACGTATTTATCAATAATAATCAATAATAAATGGAATTTTGGATCATTTAAATTTTTAATACAGTATAGCTTATGGTGAGGAACAGCCATAAAAATATCATTTCATTCTTATATGCTTTTATATAATAAGGTTCAAGAAAGAAAACATTTCAGGTTTATGTGAATGGAGATTTTGTCGGTGGAAGTGATATTATTGTACAAATGCATAAAGATGGTGAAATCACAGATTTCTTCGAAAAGGAAGGAATTAAGTCACGGTTCTCAGAGGTGGAAGAAAAAGCTTAAATTTTAGAATTGGGAGAAAATAGCCAGAATATGAATGACCTCACCAATCTTTACGTAATAATTGCATTATAACTACAGTCATGTTATCACAACCCGTCCCATCACCAGCAGTATCCGGTGATAAACATTCATCACACATCTAAAAAAAAAATCTTAGTGCTAAATCCAAATTATGCGAATATCCTCCTCTGTGATATTCATTTCATCAATAGGAAAATCGGTTGTTGATAGTTTTTATTTATAATTTCGAAATTTTTTTATAAAAATTTCATTTTTCCTTGCAAACTATCCTATTGCAATCAGGATACAAAGAAAATTAGTGAATAGTTAATAAAAAATAAAAACACCAGCCTGCTCACAAATCTCTTTTAGACTAATGCCATTAGATAACCTGTTCCTAACAAAATCAACTGCTTCTTGACTTGATAGAGAATTCCTATAATCAAAGAATAATTTAAAAAATTTAATAGATCATTTTTAAGTATAGGAATTAAAAAAATGAAAAGAATCTTTCCATTAGAGTTATATAATATAAATAGAATTTTCAGCTTTTAATATATTTTGACAAATAAATTCAAACCATATTCCATCACAAGCTACTATCACAAATTCGTCATCAGGTTCTAATTTATTCTCGTTAACATCTGGATTTGATGAGATCATTTGGTCCTCTAGTGGAAGTGCTTCGTTTTTTTTATAAAAGTGATCTCCAAGTGCTCTGAAAAGCTTAATTTTTATAGCGAAATATGCATTTAGAAATCATAAAACGCAATAAAACAAAAAAATTTAGAGTTAAAAAAGTTAGAAATGTCGAAGATGGATAAATGTTAAAAGTAAAAAAATAGCCTTCAGTAAAATTAATGACGCACGTTAAAATTGATTTCACAAAATTCATTTACGTCAATTCTAAATAATTTTTAATGAAATATTTTTAAATACTCGCACTTTCGACTCTTTTCAAAAGAAGCGAATGCTACTAAAAAATAAAAAGAAATTGCTAACCTAGAAAGATTTAGACCACCGTTTACCCGTCCATCAATACTTATTTCTCCGCCAGCAGCCTCAATCCGCCTCCTTTCTGAAAAGTATCAATTTATCAAACATCGATATTCTCATAAAAATTGCATTAGAAATTGCAAGTAAAATGATTCGAATTCAAGATCTCTCTAGAGGATATACCCATGAATTTTCGCCTTTTTAATCATTGATAATTACAATTATTTCAATAAAAAATTATATTCTTATTTGGAAAGTGCATCGAATATGAATTTCACATTTTTAATTGAGAATTGAAAATTATTTTAACATAAACGCTAGATGGAAGGGACATTTGATGTTTTAATGGAAAAACTTGATGAATTCAAGTGGTTAATTTTTTCATATCTTATAAAAAAGTTATAGAAAAGAAATGATGAAATTAAAAATTGTTTTAAAAGTACCGAGATCATCCTCCGGCTTGTGATCCACTGAAAGTTCGATTGCAGTGCCCTTTCTGCAAAGAACTGCACGACTATCACCTGCATTACCAACGATTACACGATCCTAAAAGGCCAGGATTAGCCAAATTTGACAGAAAGATAAAAAAATATCTGTGACATAAACGTGAAATACTTGCCTCAAAAATTAGAAGCAAACATGCTGTGGTTCCAGAGTCTTCGCCTGGAGTGTCGCTTGACGGTCCACCATATGCTATATTTTCCTTCAAATTTTTTCTTAAATAATTTAATGTATAAAAAAATTTTCTTTAAATATCACGTAGTTTATGCATATAAAAATTACTTCATGATCAGATTCCTCTTCTTCATCTTCACTCAACTCCTCATCATCAATATAGTCTTCATCAGCAGAGTGTTCAGTGTCTGAAGAATCGGTAGCATCCAATTCACATTCTCTGTAAAAAAAAAATAAACGATATAATGAAAAATTATTGAAAAATTAGAAGCTTGTGCTATCGAAGCATTTTACAAAGAGATCCATGCATTCGCCAAGCACTTTTGGTAAAAGACTGTCTATAAAACTCAAATTTTCCAAATTTTCGAATTCTGTTAAATTAAATTGTGAAAAAAATTTTGTCGAAAACTTCTTCAAAATTCCTGTTCACATAAATGATTGTATTTAAAAGGTATGATATAAAAAATTGCTTAAATTTTTCATTTTCACATGCAATATCAAATGATAAAGGAACTTTTTGGCAGATAAACAGTTATCATCGTTCTGATCATTCTTATTCTCATTCTGTTCGACATCAGCAACTGTTCTTATTTCATGCTCATCTTCTTTCAATGTATTCTTGTCGGTTAAATCTGATTCACTTTTCGAAATATGCTCATGACCATCAGTATTGCATTCTATCAAACTAAAAAACAGTCTAGCATATTTAAAAAAAAAAAAAGAAAATTTTAAAACAATACCAATTCCTATCCAAATCCCTTTCTCTTTCCTTCTTTAGAAGAAACAAAATGAAGAACTATTTTTGGGGACTTTCGACTTCAATTCAGTGTGGAAATCAAAAATATACCGTTCACATGACAAAGAATCCTTGGCAGTCCCAGATAGGCTTGAAAATTTGCAATTTAATGGTTGAGAAGAAATCGCACTATCTGAAAAATAAATCGAAAAATAAATACTTAATATTTAATTTATTTAGACAAATCGAAAAAAGAAAATATGAACAATCTCAATAATTTTAAATGTAAAAAATTCTAATCTTCTAATAATGTTCATCATTTCTGGTCAAGCTGATTCCAAAGGCTACTAAATGATTTCAAATTTCCTTTGATCCTTATTCCTTTCTCCCTTTTCTTTCTAAAAGGTGGAATCCTTTTTCCTTATTATTTCTAAAAATATTCGATTTTTCTAATTTGGCTGGTTCCACTGAATACTTATTCGCCAGTCACTCGGAAAAAGAAGTATAATGGGTGAATAGCATAATTCGATTTCATTTTTGACTTCCGTCAAGCGACAGGAATTGGACCTATGCTGCTAAATTAAAATATACCATTGGTCTATCTTATTATTTTTTCTTTATTATCGAATCAATGAATCAATTCAACAACTTTTTTTTGTAAAAAGAAATCGTAGGAAATATGATCAGTGAAAAAACCATAAAAGTCAAACCCATAAAACTTATTACCATGTTTCTTGCACCGTTTTGGGTTAATTACGTTAGACCACTGGCTTACGCGTTTTGTGGCGCTTTTTATCGTAGAATCTGAATTCATAATCTCCATTCCGACCGCATTTTTTTCTTGTTTTCCATATAAATCAGCTTTTAAGCAAGTATCATCCAAAATTCCATTCTCTGAATCACTTTCGGTCTCGCTAGATTTCCGCTTTGCATTTCTACCATCTAAATTTAAAAAAATTTTTGATATTTCTGACGATAAAAACTCATATTTTGCTTTTCTACATCTTTCAAATTTGTAATCTCATTATATTACTTTTTAAATCACTTTTTTGCTTGATACTCCTCGACAACTGATTTTCTTCGCCATTACGCAATAAAGGATAAGATTCTTCATTGAATGTTTCATCATGAATTCCATTGCCATTCTCAATTTTTCTATGATTGTTTTCCTGCAAAGATAAAATAGTCAATAACTTTCAGGTGAAAAAAAAATTATTCTTTTTTAGTAAAGAATGATATTTGAAAAAGATTTTTTATTTTATATTGACTTTAAATGAATACATAGCGACGTTCGATTAATTTGTCTTCTTCATTTCGCAAATTCTCGATTTCATCAATAACAGCCTTTCCATCATGATCATCCATAATTGCGAGTCCGTATTTGCTTAAAATCGCTTGTAAAGGCATAGCAGCTTCTTCATAAAGTACTTGCTATAAATTTAAATAGCTAAATCAACAATTAATAAATAATTTAATAAACTAGTAGCAAATATAAATTATTCGAAAAAAATTGAAGTTCAAATGTAAATTTTCATGCGCAAAAATTTATTTATAAAAAAAATTTATTTATAAATTTATAAAAATCTACCTTATCCTCATCATCACTATGTTCACGTGATTCTTGAGTTTTACTTTGTCCTGCCAAAACTCTTAATTCTTGTATCACATCTGGCGATCTGAAAATGTAGATATAAAAAAAAAATCCAAGAAAATGATAAAAAATATTTAAAGCAAAATAAAAAAACCTCAACAAATTATCGAATTCCAGAAAAGCTTCTTTGATAGCTTCCTTATAATCACCACGCTTCCAAGAAACCCTTTCTTTCAGCAATCCTGGCAAATGTGTCGATGCATACTGTGCAACTTCGCTTCCTGAATAAAATTGAATCACTGAGATGATCTGCATAATATTTAATATATAATTATATGTTTTAGCTCAAATTTTAAAAAAATTATTCCTTTAATTTAAAAAAAATCATCTGAAATCGTCTGAAGTAAAATATGAAAGCTAAAGCGAAAAAAATCTCAGAAATAAGTTTAAATACTTGCGTAGATAAATAAAAACGAACATCTTGCATAAAAAGTCCCACAATTAACTCGCTTTCGACAAAAACTCCTTAAACTCCGTGGTCGGAACTTAGAGAGATGGATGAAGAATTTATATCTTCCTTTTCACTAATCTTCCTTCAATTATAAATTCAAGTAACAGACTGCAGTAGTATTTACAGAATCTCTCCCGTTATTAGCGATAGAAAACACATAATAACGCAATAGTTTTCACTGCGGTGGGTGAGTGGCTTAATGACAAAAATGCTTGACACCGAAAATCAAAAATGATTAGGACTGGAACGCTTCGATGAAAAAATGATATCGCCGAATAGCGAAAATGAAAGCAGTTTGGCAGATTTTGTTTAAGCATCAATGCTGCGGTTTAATGTTCAGCAAGAGTAAACCTGCCGTTTAGATATCCTGGTGATTCTGGCGAAACACTTCTACTTCTATTACCAAATAATTCCTTGGCAAAATTGTCCCGATCGACAGGCCAGCAAAACAACCAGCAATGGTGAATGCTTTTAGAAAAAAAAACTACTTTTAATTGCATTTTTTGCATTCCAATTTAAGTACTTAAAAATACATCTCCAGGAAGAAACTTTTCATAGGCTTTCCACCAAAATTCAATAGCATTAAAACAACATTAAGGTGCCTGTCTAATATTTTCGTAAAATAAAAAATCCCGTTTTAAAAATAAATTTCGCAATTAGACGTATTATTTTATCATAAATCAAAAGTAAACAGATAAAACTAGCTAAACCAAAGAGAGAGAAAAAAATCACCTCCATGCCCATCATAAACAGCAAACAACGAACAGTTCTTATCGTAATCGATAATGCAATTATGAGCATCCTACAAAATAGATTATGGATAAAGATTTTTAGTATAAAAAAAAAACGAATAAAAGATTTGGTTTTATTCCAATCACCATGAAGTATTGTATTGCGGAGTGAAAGTATTTTTATTTAACAATTTTATCCAATAAAAATTCTTTTTTATGAATAATTTTTGAGAAACTTCACAAGTAACAACTGGAAAATTCAAAATTTTAGAAAAATTTTAATAAAATTTTTTTCGACTATTAGACGTTTCAACAAGTTTGCTAGAAAATTTACAATACACATCAGACAATTACAAATTTCGAATTTACAATAAATTTCATGCAAAATCAAGAAACCCATAAATGAAACTAAACCGAAATGAGGAAAAAATGCAAAACTAATTGCAATTTCAAATTTAAAAATCGAATTAAACGCTATAACATTAACAATTAACAATTAAGCAATTTTTCCAAAACTGACGATCATAAATTATCGGCAAATTTCTTCTCTTTTTTTTTCCTTTTACAGCGCATTACTGATTAGGTTTGTTTCACTGACTAGAATGGTGAGACGCTTCATTAAACATTAATTTGAGGCCATATCTAAAAGTTACGGAAGTAGTTGGTCATTTTCTCTGCCCATATATAACACAGCCACCTACGTATTAATATACTGATAAGATAAAATACTGATTATGTTTCTGAAAGTCATCCAGTGCAAAATTCCGCACTCCAACATGTGACCTATTGGCATCGACAAAAATTATATGCATTAACAATAATAATAAATTAAAAATCCAAGTATAAAAGAGCAAAACAAGATTAAATTCTACATTTCCATCGATCAATTTGAAAATTAAACATTGAACGACAAGCCTTAAATCTCCTATATTTCGAATTTTCTATAGAATCACAATATTTTCAATGGTACAACGAAAATTGAAAAAACGATGCGAGGATAAACGATAAACTTAAACGAACGAATCACCAACCGAGATCGAAGAAAAATTTATGCAAAATCATTAAAATTAGGCAATTAGAAAAGAGAAAAATATATGAAAATATATGACAATTAAATAGTGATCATGAATAACCATGAAAATGATAAATGAAAATGATAAAAAGATGAAAAGAAGAAAACGAACCTCTTGATTAATTCGCCATCCTTGCATAGCAGTGGCAGCAAATCGAATTCGTTCATTATTGCCTTCTTCAGAATTTTTATCAACAATCGGCTTATTTAAATATGCTCCCATAGATATAAAAGAAAAAAAAAATTAAATACAATCAAATATAATTTCGAAATATGCAATAATCTTCAAATTCCAAAAAATTTTCTTATTTTTTACATATGCAATTATGAAAATAAATATTATAGCGAGTTTTTTCGATTAATAACAAATTGATAATTTCTTTCTGAAAATTCACAGAAAAAAAAAGAAAATTAATTTCGTAAAATTTTGAAACGAAACGAAAAAATTATTTGATTTGATCATAGAAATTATGAAGAAAAATTTGAGAAACATAAAGAATTTTAATGAAAACATCGCTCAATTCAGTCGTATTTCTTTTCTTCTTCTTCTTTTAAGAACTTGCATTATTGCTGGTTAGGCTGGTACGGCTAGCTACAAGGATAAGACACGAATTTTCATGTAACGCGTCAACTCCAACAATATATAGGCAAAGAAGGCGAAAAAAAAGCAACAGTTTTAATTAATTTATTTATGGCTAAATTATCTTAAATTACCAAAATTTTATAGATTATTCGTCAGTCGGAAGAAACAAAACTGGATATCACTAATAAAAATCAAAAAACAAACAATTATAACAATAACAATCATCAAAAGAAACACAATCATTTAAACCAGTTAAATGTTAAATAATAATTTAAAAATTTGAAAATTATATTAAAAATTATATTAAAAATGATATTAAAAATAAAATTTAAAATTAAATTTATATTTAAATTCAAATTTTAAAATTAAATTTATATTTAAATTCAAATTTTAATTCTAAAAAAATGAAAAGAGAGAGGAAATTTAAACTTTGTTAAATTTATATTAAATTTTAAATATTTTAAATACGAAAAATTTCGATATTTTATCGATTGTAATTTTTTTTAAATGAAAAATTTTCAAAACTTTCAAACTCTTTAAAAAACTTTCAAAAATAAATTTTTTTCTTGAAAATCAAAAATTATCTTCACATTTCTTTTTTTTCGCCCAAAACAGCTAAAAAGCGCTCATTTATTTCTTGGCTAAGTGTGTTTTTTTGGCTGAGCACGAAGGAAGGAAGCGCGAAAGTGCGCGAAATAATTTTCACTAATAGGCGTTTCGCTAAATTCATCGGTGATTTTTTCGAAATTTTAAACGACAAATTTACTATCGTCGAATCGTGGAAATTTAATAGAAATTGTGGCGCTTCGAAATAAATAAATTTTAATTTTTTCGCTTCCTTTCTTTTTTTATTTAAAAAGATTTCCTGGAATTTTAGATTTTTCAGATTTTCTGGAAATCCCATCGAAATCGTAAAATAATTTTAAAGCATTCTGGATTTATAAGAAATTCCCAAAAAACACCAAAAAAAATAAACAAAAGAGGAATCAATTAGTCAATCGAATGTGAATAATTTTTAACTAGATTGACCTAGGAAACAATCGTTTCAGGACCGAATTTTTTAAATTTTAAAATTTATTCTATTTCGTTTTTTGTTCAACTCATTAAAGCATTGACTACTAAATCTGTACTTCATGGTAAGCCTTAAGGGTCCATAGGAACGCATAATGGTTTTCTTCTAAGTGAGTTGTTCCTTTAATTCCTTTAATTATAAATTGGAGCGATGAATGAATGAATTTATGAAAATAGCAATTCGTGTGGCTAAATTTATCACCAGGCAAAGCCACATATCATTAATTTTTCAATTCTACTTCTATTAAAATAAATGATAAGAAATAAGTGATCAAAAAATCAAAACATGCTGAAATTTTAAGTTTAGTTGTTTCGAGTCAAATATCACTAAATTAAATTAATAGTCATCGAATTGGTCTGAACGGAACATCTCACAAAGCATCTGCGGTCCAATTTTATATTCTTATTTTATTTCAATGGTAATAAATGATTTTTAATAAATATTTTATGTATATTTATTCAGTTAAGTGAAAAAATTTCCGAGTTAATAAAAGTTACACGTGATTATATCTATCCTTCGCTTAAATACCACTTGCATAAATAATGTTATCACAGAGCGCCACCTTCGCTAATTAGGATACGTTCTCCGTCGTCCACTACAAGAGTTGATGCATATTTCGCTACTTGCCGAACCTTGCGATGGTTGGCGTCAAAAGCGAGGAAGGCAAATCAAGACCTGGGCTGATACAGGAAAGATTTTGAGTATATAGGTGGACCAGAATGGACCGGTATACGGACCTAGACGATGGAAAAAAGAATGCCTTCTATTACTATCAGACAGCTTGGAGACGTCTTATTCTTATAGCCAGCGGAAGCAGCCTAACCAGTGAGAGTTGTTAGAAGAAGAAGTGGAAAAATTTAATAAATACCTTATAATTTGAAAACTTGAAAATATTGCACCGCAGGATCCTAAGCTGTCTGGATCTTCGCGGTACCATTCAGATGACCTATAAAAGGAAATTTGACGTTAAATTCTAACAATATAAAAGGTGTTACACAAAATTTATTTTAGATCGATCATAAAACTATTTTAAGAATACATCGAAATAAATAAAATTATCTATAAAAAAAAAACTGAAACTTCATATGTATTTATTTGTATTTATCTATTTATCATTTTTATCATTCTACTGTTTTGTCTTTTTATCATTTTTTTTCTAATCTTTATTTTCATCATTTGTATTTATGTTTTTCATTTTTATTATACCATCATTTCATTACTTTCTAATTTTTATTTTTATTTGCTTATCACTTTCATCATTATATCACCTTATCACTATTTTTTTATATTTATTATCTATTATCTGCGTGTTTATATAAATATTTATCGTGCTCATGGCTCAGGTCCTATTTAACAATTTTTCAAATAATTTTTCAAACAAATATTTTATATTATTATTGTATATTTTATATTAAGTATTTTATTTCGTAACACTTTTATCTGTTTATCACTCTTATCATTTTTATCACATTATAAGCCCAAGACCATAGCTCTACTTTCGTTGCTACTATTTTATATAATTGCAGTGGATAATTATACGCATTTGTGAGAGTTTTATAAAAGGAACTCTAACGAATCAAAGGAAGACTGGGTAATTTGCACAAGTGTACGACACAGTATTAAACGTTAATGCAGATAGTTAATGATCTTTTGACATTGGTATAAATTTATTAATTCAGTTGATTTGTTATATTCTCTCCCTCTGCTAATACCATCTACCTAAGTCTTGCTAGCTTTATTTACTACTAAACTGAAATCCCTCTACTCAGAGAGCAACGTGGTTATAGAAAATGAGGTCCATACCACTACTTGGATTCTATTCAGTGATAAGTCACCCCCCCCCCCCACCCCTCTCCCCCTCCCTAAACCACAAGGACATATCTAGGCTGGGTTTAACTTATTCGAAGCCACATACTATTTGATTTATTCGGATTCTACTTTTCAAGACAGGCTTTCCTTCAACATCACGAGGATGTATTCTACTATGTGATTATTTCTGTCCCTTATCCACGGTCAATGTATTGTGCAAAAGATCGACGTTATTGTTGTTCTAATATCACATATCATTTCTGATTTGATTATAGGAAATATTTTCTGAAATTTAAAGACTTAGTGAAGTAAAAAAAATATAATCGAAAAAATTTTGAATGGAAAGTCAAAAATTTGTCTAGGATTTTATTATCTAAAGATATAAGAAAGATACATCTAGAAATAACAAAAGGAATTCCACGAGAATAAAGAAGTATGAATAAAAAAAAAAAATCTAGCACTATCTGATTAAACAATCATTATTTTTACAAATGATAACAATATAACAATCATAAAATATTCGAAAAAAATGGAAAATTAGAATCCTCAGTATCGAATTCGTTAGTTTGTGAAAAATGTTCTTGATTTTCTTCGACTGGAGAATCAAATTCATAATCATTCAAAAATCTCTGAAATAGTAACTAATACCATTTAAAAGAAAAAAAAATTATACAAGAAAAAGATATTTAATCAGAGAGAAAAAATTCTGACAAGTCCCTCATAATTCCACACTGTAACGATAGCAAAAATAATTTTATATCATTTCGAATATTATTTAAAAATTACCAAAATTAAACCAAATCTTACCGGACCAAATTCATCAAGAGAAACAAAATCAGTACCCCAACGCTCATTCGGATATAATTCTTCTATATCGCGATCAACCAGACCCGTATCTCCGCAATGATATGTTCTCAGATGTTCACATATAACATCTGCATTATTGCCCTACAATTTAGCAAATATCTACTCGAATATATTGACAAGTATTCAAAAAGTTTTTTTCCTCAAAATTTTGAGCAAAAGGTTCATTGAAGACAATTCAACCTTTAATTTTTAACCCTATAACCATTGATATTTGTAAATCATTCGTGGTACTTTTTCTGCAGTTTTGCAATTTTACATACCAAAGCATACTTGAAATACAAAAGCGCTTTATGATCAAATGAATATTTTCATCAGAATATGAAAGCTGTTCGCCCTGCTCACTCAGAAACTACCTTCCTTTAACGTTTAAGTATTCATTCTTCCAAAATACAAGAGCCACGAGCGTCAATAAATTACAAATTATAAAAATTATAATTTTTAGTTTAAAACCATAAATAACAACCGACAAATGATGGCTTTTTATGCTCAGTAAAGTTTACTTCAAAATTTCAACTCGCGATTCCTTTAAAACATTTCCTATTGTACAAAAGCATTTAGCGTTATATTTAATTAAGAAATATAAAAGATTAATAAAATTAATTAATTAATTAATTAATAGAAAATTTTAAGAGACATAACATAAAACCGCAAAGCCAGCAGAAATGTGTATTACAAATACAGCATAACATATGATTGCAACCCGCTTGTTTTTCGATTACTGCATGACAAGTGATTTTTGGACAACATTTACGATTTTTTCTATCCAATCTGTAAAGGACTATTAAGTATAAACTAATAGTTTTATTAGAAATTAAACACAATTTGTTATTAGACAAGTTCTCAATAGAAAAGGGCAACTTTTGAATGATAACCAATTATCACAATCAATCAATCGAAGACTAATTCGACTTCGCCTTAAAGTACAAAAATAAAATTCATAAAATAATAATGTCCAAAAAAATAATAAAAGCAGAAAAAAATATTAAAATTTCCTTAAAATAATTAGACCTAAGAAAAAAAGATATAAGGAAGCTGCTTGCACGTCTCAGGTGCATTCTACTTGTTGATAAAAATTCATTAAATTATCACTCAGATCACGAGTAATGATATAACAAAACACTGCTATTTAAAAAATCGTAGTAGTGCCCATATCCGTTATATAAATAAATTAGCGAAGAAAGAAGTAGGAAACGAGTGCGATTGCTCTCGGTGGGGCTTTCCTCTCGGAAATTTATGTTTATTCTGGCAGATTAATCCGAGATTAGCCGTGATTCTAGGAAAAAATTCCCAGCCAACCAATAGTAAAACTAGTCAGTGAAAGAGAAATGGTAAGCATTAATCACATATCAATTTATTTACGTGCAATTTATTTATGTGTTTCAATGATATTGCCATAAACTGTCTATAAGTGATTAGGCCGCCTTTGTCTCCTTCGCCAACCTCAGGAATTCACTCTTCTCTCACTATTTGCCACGCTTTGCGATGGAAAGCACCGAAAACAACGAAGGCAGCATCAAGACCTGGATCGGAATAATCAAAACATATTTTAAATGCATTGACAACCAGGCGATAAATGAGCTAAAGTAGTGGAAAAGTATATTCCATCAGATGGCAAGGCACGGAAATATCACAGTCGCCAATGCAGCCAGCCAAACTATTAAACGTCGAAGCTACTAAAAGAAAAATGAAGATTATACTTCTATTCAAATTACTCATCATCGAGCGACAAATTCCAATAAAGTAAAAAATGAAAAAAAGTAATAAATTAAAGGCAATAAAAAGATAAATAAAATTCAAACTTCATCCATTGCAATATAGGAGTTTCGATATTGGATCTCGTCCATACAAACTGCTCACATGGAAATTTTCCATGAGGTTCAAAACCACATTTACCGCACTGCATACTTTTACAAAATGGACAAGAAACAACTATTGCCTTATCTTTAACCTAAAAAAATATCTAAATTAAAAAAAATGAAAGGTTATTTTTGACCTTTTTTCATTTACTTAGTTCATCTTTCCACATTTTTCTTTGCTTAATGAATGGTTGAAAAATATGCTAATGCTCGAATTTCATTTGAATTATTCTAGCATAAATATACCTCGAAAATCCCTGGACAACTTGGTACAAGACAACGGTGATATTTATCGGAGTTTTTATTCAAGAAGTGTGATAAGGCAGCATCTGTTAAGGGTTTTAGCTTTTCTGAATCTTCCAATATACCTTTGCGCATGCCATCTAACATTATTAGCTAAATATAAATGAAGACCTGAATTCATTCCATTCATATTAATCTACAGGAATAGGAAAATTGAGAATTATAGAAATGAAAGTACAAAATGGAAGACAGAATGACACATAAGTAAATAAAAAACGAACTTCTATATCCCTTAAGGAAAATAGAGTCTCGCATTCTAAGCAAGCAATAGGCAATTGATTCAGACGGGCTTGATTCATAACCTAAAATCTTTTGATAAACTGAGGATTTAAAATAAAATTAAGAAGTAAAAAAATAAAAGCACCAATAATGATTTGGCTTATTCCACTGACCATTAGTAAGGCAAGACAATTTTCTGCAAATTACCTGTAGATCTCGAAATGATGAATCTCCAGCTTTACCTGGAATTCTAATAATAGCTTTATTCAGAGGTAGGAACTTAATCATAATGTATGAAATGATAATTTATGCATACATTCGGTCATATTTCCTCAGTTATCCTATATGATTTGCAATAATGCAATTTAATTACCTAATTATTAACAATATGCTCAATGCATAAAATTTTTGATGGAATACCATTGATATTGCAATGATGATATTGGTTATAGAGCCTATGCTGATAAGGTCATGCTCCTCGATGCATAACTCGTCAAATGCCAAACCTTGCGACTGGACAACACGAAAATCGACGAGATCCAAAGAACTAGATTTAGAGGGTAAGAGAAAACATAAAAGTAGAGGAAGGAGTGGCTTGTTATTTTGAGGCATAACATCGGAATGAGAGGCTTAAAATACCTCAATCTTGTAACCAGTGCAGCCAACCTAACTATTAATGATGCATTTCATTAGAAGAAAAGGACAACCTGCTCGTAAACACATGATTTACATGCAAAATGACCACAAGAATCTAAGCGATGCCATTCCTCATCTAAAGAATCGAAGCAAATTATGCATTCCTTGCTTAATAAAGGATCCCGATTTTCCTCCAAACGTAAATCTTGCAGAATTAACTGTAAATATAAAAAATTCTAGAAATTTGTTTTCACCATATGAAGATAAAAAAATTTTTATATATGAAAATATATTAGAAAAATATAAAATATGAAAATGTTATATTGAAATTGAAGTGCCAACCATCAATTCTTCTAACTGCTTTGATGTGCCGATAAATAAAAGTTCTTGAGTTTCGAGTAGAATTTGAAAAATTGCATCAGAACTGATTTCCATTTCTAGAAACCTCGATCCTCCTCGATTAAGCAAAGTTTTAAATAACCCAGGTGCAGTTTGCGAGTTCAAAGAAATTTTTTTGGAACATATTGCAGCAGAACTTAAAAAGAGAATAGAATATAACGAAATTATCTAATTTTTTTCATTAACGAAATTATCTAATTTTTTTCAAATTTTCTAATTTTTTTCATTTAAAATAATAATTTAATTTTAAAAAAGCAAAATTAAACTACTTTTACCTGTTATCAACAAAATGATCGATAAAGTAGTCGATTTCTTGCTTTATTTTATTAACATATTTAGGCGACCCTCGTATATGTACTTCTTTTTTGTATAAATTGACATCTATAATGGTTCTATTCACGAACGCATCTTTTAATTTCTTTAAGAACTTGCGCCCACGTCTCAAAAATAATAAAAATTAATAAACTTTTAGCTATAAAAAAAATGAAAAAAAGTTTTAGTTTGAAAAAAACTTGCTCAAGGAAAAACTATTAAGAAAATTAAGAAACCTAGTTAACAGCCTATGATAATATAACGATTTCTGTTCTTGATTAGTGCAATCGATTTTTTTTCCATCGATAATCCTTTCAATTGAAGTTTTTCCTATGATTGCATCTCTAAAAAAATTGCGATAAAAATTAGATTTTTTAAAAAAAATTACTGATATTTCTTCATTAAAAATATCAAAAAATGCAAAACCAAAAATAAATTCTGTAAAACAAAATAAAAATCGGCTTTATTCAATCTAATTTTCTTGAAATTCTTATCATCGCTTAAATAAAGCTAATATTTTTATCAAAAAAAAAATTCATACTCATATTTATTTGAAATTATTGATAAATAGCAAAGTCTATTCGCAAAATACCATTGCAATTGAAAAGAACCAGTGTTCTGAGATTTGATCTGACGAAGATCATTTTTAATAAGTTCAAATAATTCTTCTGGACACTCCATTTTTATCGCATAAATTTTTCTCATAGAAACCTGAAAAACTTAATCGATTAAATAATTTAAATTGAAATTAAAGTTCTTCCGAACATATTTCTTATAAGTAAAAAGTCAGAGACATACTGAGTCATTATAATCCAAAATTAATGGAAATGTCTGCATTTTTGAGAGAACAGAATTCGATATATATTGCCCAAGTTCGAAACTGGCAAATTTTATTTTTGCTTTTCCCTTATTAACAATTTGAATATCAACAGGATCAATTAGATCTAAAAAAAAATCAAATTCAAAATAAAAACTGAGGATCCAATTTTCATATTTCTAAAATCAAGAGGTGAATAATGGAAAAGAAATTATGCAGAAATTAAGAAATTATAATGGAACTCTTTAACATAGTACAAATCCATAAACAAATAGAAAAATACCTGGATAAACAATTTTCTTGCCATTTAAGAGATTCTCATTTTTCACAACATCACTAATATAGCTCGAAATTTTATATTTACAATTCATTGCCCTGAAAACAAATAACATCCATTTCAATAAAAGTTTTTCAGTTTGATCGGAAAATCAAAAAAAGGGGGGTTCCAAATAAAACGATTTACGCATCACAACCTAGCTCAAAGCAAAGACTAACTATAGTCAACCAGCTTTTCTGAAATTCTTGATTACTGCATATAACTAATAAAGCTTTAATCAAATAAAAAATACTTCATATAATTTTTTGAGTGCGCCTTATTGATAATGGCATCACCAGTTTTGCAGCAATTTTCATTTTGCATCTAAAACTATAGAAATAAAATCTCATAGTTTCAAATAATTTCTCAAGTTGGGATAATTTCATAGAATAAAAGAAAAAGGACTTTTTTTTAAAAAGGAAAAATAAAAAAACAATAATAATCATAAAAAGTAATGAAATATCCTAAACCGATATTTAATTGAAGAAATAGTTATGATAGTAAGAAAATCATTAGAAATTATCAAAAAAAAATATTTAACTGAACCTTGAAGATATGTAGATCTTTTCCAATATTTTAATATTAAAAAAAAATGTTGCAATATTTATAAAACCTTCGAAACAAACCGATATGGGATTTGTGGACCACATACATTCTAAGGTGATATCAGGTTTTGGCACTCTGGATGTTAGAAATATTTTGTTGCCCCGACCAAGAAAAGGCTGAAAAATAAGTTTCAAATCAAATTCACTGCAAAATCCTTTCGGAAAAACAGTTGTTTTTTTTGTTTTTTAAGATAAAAAAATCTTTGAAATCGATAATCGAGAAAATTACTGCAGTATTTCTTGTTATTTTTGAGCAACCTATTAAAATTTTTAATACTTTTCTTCTTCAAATCACTGATTTTCTAATTTAATACATTTCAAATTGAATATAACCTCAACTAAAAATGGATATTGCCTTAATTTATCGGAATTTACAGCATTTACTGCGGCTTCCTTAGAATTCATTTGTATAATGCATTCGCAATTTGCTCTGAGTTTATGATCAAATTTTATGATATCCATTACTGTTCCAAACTGAAATAAAAAAGAGTTGGAATAAAAAATTATTCTCAAGATTAAAAATTTCCCAAATATTTAAAGAACAAATAAATTATAACATCCTTCAATTATTATATTGCTTACTTTTTTATTTTTTTAATACTCACCTCGATATAACTAAATTTAAAAAAATACTTTTTTTAATTCTTTTAAAAGATGTCCATAAAATTCTTCTTCACTTTCTTCTAATCCTTTATAACCCGCAGTAATCGAACAATATTCATTATCTCGTATTAATTCAAGTGGCTCATAACCAGGTCCAATCAAAAGCTAAACAAGACAAATCAATATAAACAAAACCTATAATCGTAAATGTAAAAAACTTTTTTCAAAGAAATAAAAATAAATAAAAAAACAGCCGTTTATACGGAAGTAAACAAAAAAAGAAACCGAATAATCTGTCCCAAGCACGAGGATTTCCCTTGAATGAATTTTCCAGTCTTTCGCAAAAGGCAAATAATTCAGAAAGGAATCAGAGGATTCTATGTATGAATGTTGATGAGAATTTTCATTAATCTAAACAAATATATTAAACTAAAAAATTAAAAAAACCATCGATACATAAAGACGTGAATTATAAATGAGTAATGCCAACCTATAATAAAAAAAATTAAAGACTATTTTTAAAAAAATTGTACGACTAACGTTTTCTATAGACAATTGATATTTCCTTGTGACCAGTGAAGCATCGTTTTTAATATTATTATTTATTTTTTGAGAAAATTTTTTATCGCTAGTGGTTGCGGATTCACTTGCGATTAATCCATTTTCCATACAACATTGTTCCAGAATAGCAACTGTTAAGGATGGCACATAAGCTTTTTTTTGTGAATTTATATCGACTTCCTTCGATTTTATTCTTTTTTTTCCTCCGTTAAAAGAGTTTATCTTTTTTCGCCACGACTCTAAATTATATATTATCTTAAAATAAAATAAAAATACCTCGAAATTTCTAGAGAATGCAAAATTGAGATATATAGAAATATATAGAAAAAGCAAAATATGAACATAGCTTACTCATGAAGTAAATATATGGACAAATATTCTTCGCATGATAGGCTCTACAGGCACTACAAAGAACTTCAGGAATGTCATTCCGTATAAATCCTTCCTTTAAATATAATAATATAAATTATTTATTCAAACTTTTTATTAAAGTTTTATCAACTTTTTAAAAATATAATAATATTGATATGCTTGCTAGTCCAAGTGAATTTCATTCATCGTACTCCATCGTAGTGATTGTTTTCTTCTCCTAAGAGTATTTTATCGAGCTAGCTCCATTAATTCTAACAGTTCTCCAAGAATTCATTTTGGACATAAAAATATAGTTGTCCCTAACCTCTAATTTCCCATTCAATTTTACTAACAAGTTTTATATCCCCGAGAGATATTAGATTTCCACTATTACTAAGGAAATCGCTATTAGCCTAATAATTTACATAAACAAGAAAAGAAACAAGTTTATGAATGAAATTCAGTGAATGGCACAATATTATATAAAGGAAAATAAAATTCACAAAACTGAACTTTAAAAGAACTAAAAATGGAAAGAATATGTCAATCATGAAAAATTTACTTCTAATTCATTAAATTCATTAAACTGATCGACTTTATTAGATGCATTATCATCTGCAAATTCATCATTATAACTAAAATTGTTCGATGCGAAACCATCACCGTCCCTATCAATTAACAGAAAACCATTACTGACTTTCTTCGATTCCAACTGCAAATTACTAATTACAATGTCTATTTATCAGTAGCGCAAAATTCAGGAACGGAACAACAGCCATTTTCTTTATATGGATGATATCAAGTAATATGTTAAAAGCGAGCATTTAATATGAATCTGTAGCGAGGATACTGGGAAGCACGGAGGATAGTAAAGAGAGAGAGCAATTAAAAGCTGTAGGATGGAACTACTGGCGGAGCATACTGCAAAACCAAATATAAGATTCCTTGGTATCCGTCAGTTACATGGGAAGAGGCAAAGAAAATATCCAAATATCACCAAAGAATAAAAATATTTTAGCTAAATAAAATTTTTTTCCCAAAAAAAATTGTGCGAGAAAAACGAACATCGAAAAAAGATCGATGACTGATGGTGGAAGATGCTGATCGGTGTGGATTATAGATTTCATTAAATTTACTGGTACTCATTCGACCTAAAAAAATTTAAACTTAAATTGGTTCTTTAAGCTTTTAAAAAATTTGAGTAATAAAAAAAATCGCCATTTATCCAAAAATATGGCAACATACTACACTAATATTTGTGAAGAACACAGGGAACACAGTCCAGTGATATATGGATTTATCCATGGAAAAAAGAAAGATTTCGGATGCGACGCACGTTTGGAGATAATGATTTCAGAGTGGCAAGGATGGCACTAGCCTATAATTCGACTATAAATTCAATCACCATGAACACATTTGCTGATTTTTTTAGGTTTCAGTTAATCTTATAGCATTTCATAAAAAAAGAGTAAGTTATTGCTCAATTCGGAGCGCCGCTAATGAAATACTCCCGGCAGAAGTAAATCTGTCCAAAAGACCAGCTGATACTGGCGACTCATCTATATTTCTATCGCCAAGGATTGAAAAAGGCCGGAAAAACCTTATCAGTAACGCTGTGAAATTTTCGATTTAAGTGTGTACAAATGTATGAATCAAAAAATTACATATAAATAAAAAATATAAATAATAAATTAGTAAAAGATGTATATTTAAAGGGTAAAAATTATTATAAAGTCACAAATCAAAAACGAAAATCGAAAATATAGCAAATCAACAAGAGACAACAGACAACACTGTCATTATACTGATAACGAAGCAAGTGATAAGAGGATAAGAATTGCCAAAGAATGAAGAAAAACGACTAAATAAGCGCAAATAAGCCTTTGACGATTCGAGGAAAGCAAAAATACTACAGGTCAACATCGAATAAGAAAAAAAATGCCAACTTCAAAAATAATTCTTACCTTCGCTCTTCAACGATAAGATTTCACCAGAGAATCACTTGGCTTGGTGATAGAATTCTTGATGAAAAAATACGAAAATGTGGTGAGTACCAAGTAACCAACAAGCACCAAAAGAACACCACCACTAGCCACTAAAATAAACCATAATAATAATAATACAGGTGAGCAGTTACCAAGAGGGCTACACGAAATGAACAAAACTCCGCAAAATTATTCAAAGGCTCTTCGCTTTTGTCGTCTTCGTGACACTGCTAATCAACGAAGCGTACCAGGCCAAACGGCGAAGGCGATCCGAGCAAGCCAATAAACCTACTTACGTAGTGGTAGCGTATGCGTACATACTTACAACTTCTACTTCTACCTACTTTTGATCAAAAAGCAAAAACTACAACAAGTTCCAATAATTTAATAATTCTCCAAATGACAAGCTCCAATAATTTAATAATTCTTAATGAGAAAATTTGGAAATGAAGCGAGTACCAAACAACCAATAAGCACCAAAAGAACACCATTCACCACCAAAATAAACCATAGTAATCCCACACCATAGACGTTTCAAGTTTTAGACTTTTGGCTGCATTTTAGCTGCTTGTTTCTAAAAGTCGCACAAAACCGACGGTACCTACCCTCATAGTCGTAATGGTAAAAAAATTATGGAGTGAAATGGAGAAATGGCTGAGATGGAAGATTGGAGAGGGAGGGAGGGTGATGGTGGGGAAGTCGACCTGCCAATGATAAATGATAAATGATCTCCTTTGCTAGGAGGTCATTTGGTTATTTGGCCCCATCTTGTTGACTTCACATACCAATTTTAAGAAAATTTTGCTTCAGCAATTTCATATAAAATCATTTTTTAAAATTTTTTAACGAATTTATTATAAATATTTAATTATAAATTGCAATATTTAGTTAAATTATGAAAGTAATATTTTATTTATTATTTTAATGATTTAAATTTTTTTAAATTGTAAAATTTTTTTAAATTGTAAAAAAATTTAAATTTATAAATTTAATACTTTTAATAATATCGATTATAATATTATTTATTAATTAATATTAATTAACATTTATTGTAAAATTAAAATTAAAATTATTAAAATTATGAAATCATATAAAATTAGTAATAAATAAAATAGCAATATAAATATAGTAATAAATGCAATAATGAGAAACAAATTAAAACTAATAAAAATTAAATTTTATTAAATTTAACTAATTTTAAATTTAAAAATAAATAAAATTAGACATTTTCAAATTTTTTAATTAAATTAAAGAATATTATTAGTTTTTTAAGAAAAAATTTATGAAAAATATACGAAAAAGAAATTAAAATTGTTAAGAATTATTTATTTTATTAATAATTTTTAATTTTATTATAAAATTATAACAATAAGAAAAGAATTAAAAATTCTTTTTTTATAAATATTACAGACAATATTTTCGATAATTGTTATTTATTTTTTTCCAATCACAAACAGCTACATCGGGATTCCACACTAAATTTGGCGGACAATTCATATGTATCCATCTTCCTTGCGCACACTGATAATATCGGTTATTATCATACGGATCTTCACGATAACCATCTTTTTCACTACTTTCCTAAAAATAGCATTTTAATAAGCTTCTATTTATTATCAGAATTTTTTGCTTATCAGTTGTCAATTATCAGTTGTGTAACGCGATTTTGAACTAAAAAATTTATAGAATTATAAATTTGTTATTTGCAAATTAACTTCGTTTCTTGATTTTTACATTCACTTCGCTCGTCTTCTAGCGGATTTTCGAAAGATTTTATTTGCTATTTGCCTGTTTGTTACCGTTCAATACACTCATTGCCTGAGGAAATATCATTTGTTCTATTTTATTTCGAATGGTGATTTCGGGTGATGCTGGCGACTCACTTGTATTTCTATCGCCAAAGGACTCCCTAGCATAATTGTCTAGTGCGACAAGCCAGCGGAGTGAATCTATTCAGTAATGGAGAGGGTTGTTTAAAAAAAAAAAATTCCTAGTGGTCGTTGGCGATGCGCACCGGTATTACTTATCTATTTTGAACTGTGACAATTTTGAATGGATGGTTAGACGAGGAATAATGGATTATAAAGCTACAATATCATTCAACAGCAGCTTCTCCTAATTTTTGCCAAAAAAAATTAAGGACACATTTTGCCAAAATTAAAGAAGTTATTGCCAAAATAAGATAGAAAATTATCAAAAATCAATTCAAATTTTGTCGAAATTGTATAAAATATCACCAAAATTTAACAAAATTTTGTTAATTTGAAATGAGAATTCATTTTTTTTTTCTTTCAATCGCCCTAATAAAATATAATTTATAATAAAATTAATAAATTATCTATTAAAAAGTTTTAATAAAAAATCAAAATTTAATTTTATTTTTAATTTTGGCTGAAAAATTCATTGAATATACAAGGAATATGAAATATTGAATGTTATTGCTTAATTAAATGAAATAGAAGTTAAAGGTTTTACCTAAAATTCGTTAAAACAATTAATATCTTTTTATTTTTGATATTTTAATATTTTAAATTAAATATTTAAATAATAAATTTTTTGTGAACACATGAAAAAACGATGAAAACCAATCAAAACTTAGTATATATTAATATAATCAGAAGAGATTTTTGAACATATAGGCGATCCAGCGATATATGAACTTAGACGATGGAAAAACGAATGGCTTCTATTATCGTCAGCGATAGTGTCGCACCGAATAGCTTAGAAACGCCTTAACCAGCGGAGCCAATCTAACCAGTAATGGTGAGAGCTGTTAGTAGAAGAAGAAGAAGGTTTGGCTCATAGTGGTTATATTATCTTCGCGTATTTCGTGCGTAAATGCTGATGATAAGGTAATTAATATATCCAACCAAGCAATTCAACAACCAAGAGGTGCAACAGGTGCAAATTATTAGAAGAAAAAATTTTTTCATCCAAAAAAACTCACCGTGCACGAATCATCAGCAAAATTCCTATTGAATAATAATCCATTTCGATAATCAAAATTAACACAATGGTTTAGTTTTGAATCGAATCGTTTAGTTTTTGGACATGTTCGCCTCTCAAGTCTTCTTTCATTTTCGTCACCAATACATATATAATATTTGGTGCAATCATTTTCGTCAGGAAATACATCACCATGGTTACATTGTTGTTGTTGATTTTCGATGGATCGCCTCAGTTTTGGACATTTATAATCCGAACGACAGCATTTTGTCTAATATAAATTATATAAATACAATAAATTATACAAATATACAAATTATCTAAATAAAACACAATAAATTATATAAATATATAATTGTATAAATACAATAAATTATATAAATATATAAATTATATAAATACAATGAATATTTTTTCAAATTATAAATTTTTCTCAACGCTAAATTTGAAAAAAAAACATTAATAATAAAATATCAAAAATTTTAAAAGAGCTATAAACAACTCGTTTTTCTTTTTAAGAACTCATTTCTAGTTAGGCTCGTTTCATTGGCTTGTCGTACTAGGCAAATTTTTGTCAGAGGCAACCACAGGGAGTCACGATATAAGCACAGATAAGTCGTAAGTATCATCTGGATTTTTGAAAAAAATGTTTATCATGAGTATATCCCCAGTATCTGCGCCTCCAAAATGATAGCAATGATCCAATGAGCCATTTCTAATTCCTTGGCAAAATTTGTTTAAGCCAGAAAACCAAACGAATGAGATTAGCCAGAAATAATCATTCTTCGAAAAAGAAAAATGATACTGTACTCAACAATAAATACATACTGCTCAATATTACTCAAAAGTGGAAGGGAATAAAGTTGTAAAATTTAAAGAATTCTGGAAGTTTGAAAACCTCTGGATTAAAAAATGTTCCATATTCGCATAGCCTTAGTTGATATTGGCCATGGACACATTCATAATAAGTTGTACAATCATTTTCATTTATGGTCAAATCTCCATCCTCACAAAACGCATTAATTTTCGCTTCATAATCTGAAATAATCTATTTTCTATAACTTCCGTTAAAGTCGGTAGCTGAATGAGGATATAATAATATATATGATATATATATATATACACTAGGCTACGGTTCTGCTTTACGATTCGGGTAATATAATACAACGGGAGTGGAATGGCTCAGGTAATATAATACAACGGGAGTTGAATGGCTTAGGTAATATAATACAACGGGAGTGGAATGTGAATTATTGCTCGCATTTCAGAATGCTTGTACTAAAGTTCCACTCCCAGCAGGAATAAACTTGTTTTTTCATAGATCCGATTATATTAGCGATTCAACTATACTTTTATCGCTAAATGACAAAAGTTGCCCGGATCGATAAGCTAATTTATAGATAAGGAGCGAGTTTAACCAGAAATATAATTAAGCACTCTTAGAAAACAACAAAAAATTAGAATATTTTAATGGGAATTTGTAAATATCTTAAAATATTTATTTTAAATATTTTATTATTAATCGAATAATATTTTTTAGATTATTTGTTGAGAAAACGTAAAAAATACCTGAAGTTGAATAAAAGGCGAAATCCTCTGAATGAAATTTATGTTCTTGAAGAGTCACCTAAAATTTATTTTTGGAACTATGGATCCATTTTTATTTCTCAAATATTGGATTTTTCTTATTTGTATTTATTTATTATTTATTTTAATTTTGGATTATTTATTATTTTGCAAAAAAATATCATAATTTTTTGCCTAAAATAATAAATAAATAAACTTATCTGATGAAAATAATAAGCAAAAAAATAAATTGCAGCAAATTGATGAAACATATTTTGATAATCTGCAAGCAATATTCTTGGATTACTTAGGATAATCTAACAAATTAAATTTTAATTAATCTAAAAAATCCGTTGGCTTATCAGATATAGTTTTATAATGAAATTCTATTTGGCAGCGGATAAATACATATGAATCGCCAATCAGCCAGCTACCCGGATTTTTGGCACATTCATTCCTTTTTCTTATCAGTATTGTTTCACTATTGCTGATTGGCCTATTACTCTTATTCTGGTTACTCCGATTTCCGTCAGGCAATCAGGTAATCTAACGGCGATATAGTTATATTAAATAATTGCACCTCCAGCACCGGCCGAAATTTATTTCTATTAAACAGGTTTACTTCTATCGCGAGAAGCAAAGAATTATCAATTATCGATGATTATTGAGGCAAACATTCTTCTCGACTATCCCAACCTATTGAAATGAATTCAATAGCCAACACATTACACTACTTCAATATATTTCAAGTTTTTCTTCGACTTTTTTCAATATATTTTTCATCAATACAATCGAAGAAATAAATCTCACAATTGTTAAAATTTTTTCTATATATGATAATTTTTCTATATATGATATGTATATATGATAATTTTCTTATCACTCCTTTATCAGTTCTTATCATTTTAACACGATTTATTTCATCAAGTTTCTTTCTAACGATGAACATCAATAGACAAGGAGCTTGAAAGCGCCCCGAATCCTTATAGCCAACATTTTTAGCTAATAAACGATGAAAAAATAATCAATTTTTCATCGCTAAAATTTTCACCATATTCAATTTTCACCAAAAATTTCACCATATTCTTCATCTTATATGGTTATTTTTTTTTAATAATTTGCATAAAAATTTTTTTTTGTGCATGAAAATTATTTTTGATTAGATTCATTATGGTGACTTGTCGAATCAGATAAATTCTGATAAGTTGTTTAAATGGTGATAAAAATATAAATGAGTCATTAAGCACCAAATGATTTTTGAGAGATAGGTTTATTCATGACGAGAGTGAAACGCCGTTCAGAAATTAGAATTAACAATCTTTTCAGCCATTCTAATCTCTCATTTATATTCGATTATTATCAATTTTTCATTATTTCATTCTCTTATCAACTGATTATTGGATAAATCATTTTCGTTTATTCTTAAGAATATTCTATTTATTTTCATAAATTTTCATCAAAACATTACACAATTTCAAAAATTTTTATTTTAAATTATTGCCTTTAAACAATAATTTATTTCGAGAGCTACTCAATTATTTAATTGGTATACTAAGGAAAAAAGAAATGCTAAAATTCGCCTTAGAAAGGATCCAAAACCAATTTTTATAGACTTCTGTGACATGGACAAATAATAGCAATAATATAATAATAATAAAAATATTAATAAAAAGATAATCACCAAAAATATTTTATTCAAATAATTCTTTCTTTAATAAACAAAAGAGTTAAATGTAAGATTTAAAAGAAATTAAAAAAATAAGATTTTGGAAAACAATAAATTTAATCACTGATAACAATGATTAATAATAATTAATATCACAAAATCACAAATTAACATTTATAAAGGAATTGAAAAGATATTTGTAAACTAAAAAATAAAAAATAAAAATTTAAAACACTTTTTCATCTGAAAATTATAAGGCGAACGAATCTATCAATTAAGCAGAAAATGCGTTTCAAAAAGAGAAAAAAATTACAAGAGACATATTGGAAAAATTTTAAAAAATCAAAGACGAGAAAAAAGATCAAAATGACGACGCAAAAGCAAGAAAATGAGGTTACTTCCATAATTAAACGTTTCAAAAGAAAAATCCTAGAAAGAAGATATTTACCAAATTTTTATTCTAAGAATCCCTAAAGAAAATGAGGTATTTCACTAAATAATACAAATATTTCAATAATTAAATGAACAGAAAAAAAATTCATAAAAAAAATCATAAAGAAGAATCATAAAATAACCGCATTTGCTTTTGGTTATGTTGCATTAATATTGCATTCGCATTAGTTAAATATTTCATTCTATCTAATTTATTTAGTAATTTTCAGTAATAATAATTCTTAATTGGATAATTTCGACAAATAAAATTTATAAAAATTAATCATAAAGCAAAAAAAAAACAAGCGACAATGAGCAATCGAAAGCAAAATTAAAAGATATTGAAAAAACTAAAAGAAACTAGATAAAATATAAATAAAAATACACTGATACTCGCATAATTTTGCTTAAATTTAGCTTTTTTATGCCAAAATAATTGTCAATATAACCAAAAACGATAGCAAACGATATATACAAATCGGAAATCGAAGATATAAACTATTTTTAATTTAATTACGAATAAGACGAAAAACTAAACCAAAACATTGAATCAAAATTCAGAAGAGATATTTTTAATTATTTTTAGAAAAAAAAAGGATTTATGCAATGTTTATAGACCATTTTTGGAATATAGTTCTTTCAAAATTTGATCATATTTTTCTTTAATAGATCGACGTTTCAGTTTTAATGCTTCGGTTAATAGGCCACTTTCCGAAGTCCAAACTTCATCGCATAAATATATTTTCTTCGGTACTTCCATTTTCCCAAGGTTGTCTATAAGAATATTGAAAACATGACAAATTAATTAATTTTAGTGAGAAAATAGGAAAAAGATGAGAAAAAAAATATTATATGAACCCTTAACCCTAAAATAAATGGTTTATATACAAAAAATTCAAACGAACTTTTAATCGCATGGAGATCTAATCGCTTCTTGTACTCGACTTTTAACTCTTCATTCTTGCAGAGAGCCTTCCAATCACTGGAGTCAATTCCTAACTGAAATTTCGGAAAAAATTTTTAAATTTGTGACAACGAAAAACTGGTATCTTCATGGGTCAAAGCTATCCTATGGTTAGAATCAAGAGTATGATGCATGATGTTGACGTATGCACAACATAGCTTCTTCCGTAAAACCTTTTGAAGCTAAAACTGTAAAATTCACGAGTCTGTGATGATGACAAAAGCAAACAGGAACAATCAAGATCTATGCTGATACGATCAAAGGAATTCTTGAATGCATTGATGGCTCAGCGATAATAGACCGCAAAAAAAGGAATGTATTCAATTATTTTCAAGCATAGAATCGGATTGGAAAGCTTGAAAATTTTAATGAAAACCATTAATTGTCAGTAAAGCCAGCCATGACAACAACAGAAAAAAAAGGAATTAATTGAATTACAAAGTATTGAAAAAAAAAGAATGAAAAGTTTTTTTGGAATCACTAGCTAAGTGCAAAAATAAGAACGTTTATACCTCTTCGGCAATAGATTTTAACGATTTTTGACTTGGCACTATTAAAGCGACAACATAGTTTCCCATTGAACATCCATAAGCGCAAATATTGTCGACCAGAGGACAATTTAATAAGGAAGTTTCTATCTTACCAAGTGAAACATATTCGCCATGTTGCAATTTAACTAGATCTTTTTTACGATCTAAATATATCCACAATATTATTTTTAAATATCGAAAAAATTTAGAAGAAATTTTTATCTTATTAATTTTCCAGTAGCATTATATAGTCTCTACTTATCATTTTGCAAACACCTAATTTTATTTTTTTTAAAATATACCAATAATTTTGAAGGATCCATCTTCTCTAACTTCTCCGATATCTCCTGTCGCGAAATAACGCACTCCATCAATTACAACAAAATCTTCTGCTGTTTTTTCCGGCTGTTTCCAATAACCAAGAGCCACATTCGGTCCTCCAATCAAAATTTCTCCTTGCGGTGGATCGTTAAATGGAGTATAACCACCTTAACAGAAAATGAAAAGGTTCTTTTCCGAAACGTTATAAGGCAAAATTTTGTTATAAAAAATGAATTCATAATGAAATCATACTGAAAATGAACTTACCTTCAGCCCATTCTCGCAGAATTATTTGTGAGCTTCTTACTGGTGGTCCAACAGTTCCAGTGCTCAAATCGTTTACTAAAAAATAATTAATTTATAATTGATTAATTTATTAAAAATAATTTTAAAAAAGTGTACTATAAATTAACAGCATAATTAACAATAATAGCCAAACAAATTGGCAGTAAATTTCTATAAATTAATATAACATACAAATAAGTACACAAAATGAAAGCCAGGACTTTCTTCTAACAAAATAGATTTAAATTAAAAAAATATGCACGAACCATCGGCAATAGTAGCGGCTGCACTAGTTTCAGTAAGTCCATAACCTTGTATGACAGGACAACACATACATATATTCATAAAGCGCTGAGTCTCGGGGTTTAAAGGAGCACCACCACTAAGTACTCCGCGAAGTTTTCCACCAAGTAGCTTACGGATCTTTTTGAAGACAATCCTATAAAAAAAAAAACGAAAATAGGAGAGAAAAAACAGTATGCTTTATAATAGTATCCTTTATCTTATTAGAGGAATATATAATAATTTGTTATGTGTTCGGTTGGTGTTTTTTTATTTGGCTCATCATCACCAAAAAAGATAACCAAAAAAACCAACTCCCAAAACTACTGAAAAACTCAATAAACCACACAATTCCTAAATAAAAAAGCTAATAAAGCTTATAAATAAACAAAATGATTAAAAATCAAGAAATGTTTAGAAAACCTATCAAAATCTGCCAGCTATTTTAGCTCTTAAAAAATAATAAATAAAATAAAAACTCAACAAAACACCAGCAAAAATCTGAAAAGGTGAATTCATACCCAAAATACTATCACATTTCCAATTCAAGGATCCAATAAAAAGTAAAATTTATGTTAGTAATCGTTTTAATGGTTTTTTTAATGCAAGGTGTGGCCTTTATAACTATGTTTGAGCGTCATTAAATAGCCTCGTATTGGTCCTAATAAGGTTAGTTATATGGGTGTTTTTCAGGCTGTTTTTGATGGTATTAATGAAAAAGGAGTTGACCTGTCTAGGAAAGGGCTGCAGTATCCTTCTAGATAACGTGCACGCTTGCGCTCGTAATTAAGCTTAAAAAGTTCTTGCATTAAACGCGGAGCGGTTCCTACTTCCTCAGTAACAGCCTTGAAAATTCGATCCATGATAGCCTAAAATCAATCAACAACAAAATATAAACTAAAAAATATGCATGGTTAGATTATTAGTTAATTAAATTTTTCAATTATTTTTTGTTTCATTGAAAGTAAAAAATCAAAAAAATAAAATAAAATTACCGGAACAGCAGCTAATAATGTCGGCTGTAATGCCCAACAATCACCATGAGTTCCTGCCTTAATCTTTGCACCACGATCGTGAAGAGTGAGTGGACTAGAGTACCCAATTCGACAACCAGAAGTCTGAAAAATCCAACAATCAGATAGAGAAAAAGTAGAACGACTTAAAGACTGATTTGATCCGATTGATCTACTTATTGTTACCATAATAATAATATTAACAATTTAAATCATACTAAACAGCTGAATTCAGCGATCACTTCAAGGATATGAGCCAACGGCAAATAACCAATATATGTATCATTTTCTGAAAGAATTGATACTCCAGCGCTTATTCCAGCAATAGATGCAACTATGTTTTGATTCGTTATCATAACGCCCTTAGGCGCACCTGTTGTACCACTAGTATACATAATCATTGCAATATCTTCTTTCTTGGCAAATGATTTCGCTGAAAGCAAAAAAAAAAAAAATCACAAATAAAATTCACTGCAAATTTGTTCAAATGAATTTGAAAAAAAGATTTTTTTTCAGAATTATAATAAAAAAATTTTTTAAAATTTCCAAAATATCCGATTTTTTCCAAAAAAATTTAAAATTAAGTGAACAGAAAAAATAAATTAAACGATCGATTAATTTTAAATAAAAATAATTCATTAATATGAACTTAGTGGAGAACTGCAAAGATTTTCCAATTCATTAAGCGATAAGACGTGGCGGAATTTTTCATACAAAGGGTCCAAGTTTAACATTTTTTTCGATTTATCAATAGGAAGAAAGTAAATGACAGCCTTAAGCGAAGGACATTTTTCTGCAACAGGGATAACTTTATTCAATAGTTCTGCAGATGTTACGATAATATTCGATTCCGTCTCACAAATTGCATGAGAAATCGCCTGAAATTAAGTTTTGTAAATATGGAACTCTACTAAATTTAAAAAAAACTGATGGTTAAAAATCATTTCAGAGGAAATGATTTTGTTCTTACCTCTTCTCCAAGTGTTGCATAAACTGTAACCACAGGAATACTGACACGGAAACATGCTAATGCAGTAATTAACCAATCTGCTCTTGTTTCTGCGAAGATCACAACCTGAAAAACATTACATCAGCAAAGAAAATACAAATCAATTTTATTAGTATTATTTAATAAAAATAAATTACTTTTGAATCTTTTTCTTTGCCATCAGTTATTTGCCTTAATCCAGCAGCGATAAATCCTACTCGATTGTATACCTCTCTGTATGTCTGCCAATGGTACTTTCCAAGCACCCACTGTAAAAATAAAAATTTTTCTTTAAAAGATTTTAAGCGTTACAGAAAAATATCAAAAAAGAAATTAACGAAACCTTTTCAAAAATACGCCCATTTGGTTGCTTCTCTTCATGCACCTCGAGTAGATCACGAGTTCCAAGTAAGTCTTTGTCCTCGTAAATATCAACTACTTCTGTGAAAAGTTTATCAACTGTATCTTTACCAGGGAAATTTTCAGTCTTCGGACCATCAACATGTCTCCAAGGACCATCGAGATTGCCTGCTGATTTTGCCTAAAAAATATTCCGCTCTAAGAACTATGATTTAATAATATAACAAACAGCTGAAAAACAAAGAGAAAATTGAAAACATTTATTATTGTATTCATTACAAAACATGAAAAGTATATGTAAAATCCACAGACATTCCGAAAGACTAACAAAAAATATCTCCTATTTTAATATCTAATATTTTTTTAAATCAACCGTATCAGCTATAAATTTAATATTATTACTTCTTTTTTTTACAATATCGACATATTTATTAAATTGTAATGCGAATGAATAAAAAAAACAAACCTTAATACGGCGACTTTTTTGTAGTTTGGCAGCTGGTGAATTGAATAATGCATAAGGAATATAATTAAGGCAATCATAAACAAAGAACCAAATCTTCAACAAATTAATCAGGAATTGAATCCATAGCGGTGATTTACCCTATAATTATTAAATTATTAATTATTAAAAATCAGTCAAAAAAATTTCGCTTAAATAATTCTACACTTAAATACTATTGCTTTTCATAAAAAATTTCATTAAAAAAATTTTTTCAGAAAAAAATTTTATTATTTTATTATTAGCAATTGATAATCAATATTTATTTAATAATTTATTTAAATAAATAATTATTTAATTATTTTAATTATATAAATAATTAAAAAAATAATTATATAAATAATTATTTTTTAATAATTAGAAATAATTATATAAATAATAATAAAAAGCAGAAAAAACTTACAATTACAACTTTATCAATCATCACTTTTTGCGAGTTATTATCGTTATCATTGTTGATATGTCGTCGTTCTTTCTTATCCGACATAATTCTATAATACCTAATTGTTATTAAACAAAATTACACAGATAAAGAGAAAACGCTGGCAAAGTTATCGATAAAATTATCAATAATTGAAAGAAAAACTCGAATATCGTCTACATTAATCAAACGATAATAAAAAATCGCTTATGCTGATTAGACAGAACATGCTCTTCGTTATCCATCACGCGAATCGACATATTTCTCGCTGAATGCTAAGCTTGTACTAGTCAAAAAAAACAAACGTCAGCTAGGTAGATACCAGATCGATATTTGCGAGAAATTTTGAACACACAAGCGATACAGCGGTGATATTAGTCTCTTAGATGGCCAGAAAATGCCACTTGCCTCTCTTCTTTCTTTCTATTAGGTATGGTTTTGGATAGAGAAATCTCAATCCTATAACCAATTAAGCAAGCCTAAGCCAGTGATGATGCGAGTTGTTTATTCGTTTACTCAGTGAGAGAATAAAAAATGGAAATAAAAAAAGGTTTTAATAAAAATTGGAAGGAAAACAACTATTTCCTCCTCAAAAAATATTTATAAACAATATAAAAAATAATAATAAATTAAATAATAAGTATAATAAAAAATGATAAATAACAATAAATAATAAACAAAAATATATAAACAAATAAATGAAGTAAATATATGAATAAGTAAATAAGTAAAAGTATAAATAAAAATATATAAATAAGTAAATGATCATAAAAAATATATGAATTCAATCAATATTTCCGATAAAACATTAAAATAAAAACAAATCAAAATTTCGAATTTTATATTTTCTTTGATAGATAACAAGTTTTTTAGCAAACCAAACAAAATATTAAAAATATTTTTCCAAAAAAAAATTCACAAAAAATATACAGCCGACTTAATCATGTAGCATTTCATTCGTATAAAAATATTTTACTTTTTTTTGTAGAATAAACTTTAATAAATCCTAAAGACAGAGTGATCTTTGATCAGCGAAATCATCATTCGTCAAATGTCGCGATATCATTTATTAACGCTCTATTCTAATTTTTTTTAGTGGTAAATTCTATATTTATCTAACTATATATTCGAGATAATGGCATATTGGTTGATAAGAAAAAAAATCAAAGGATTTGGCGAAAAATTGTACAAAGGAAACCATTTATCAACGAAGCCATTTATTGATGAATCGCGCTGAATAAACTGAAAACCGCAGTCCATATTCATAGCACTTTAATCTAATGAAATTTCTTTTTTAGAGAGTCCGCACCATTACTGGTTAAACTCGCTCCACTGGCTTGTCGCACTGGACAATATGCCAGGGAGTCCTTTGATAGTGAGAGTATAGGTGAGTGGCCAGCATCACCCGGTTTACACCTGCAGGGAATCGAACTTCAGCATTGGCGCTCCCAATTGAGCAACAGCACACTGAACCCTAATCTAATGAAATTGACATATAACAACATAGAATCTCAACGAAAGCCGAGATAATAGAATGTGTAAATGTCAACTGTTTATAATTACCAAATCTTTATCAACTTATTTCGTTTGCAAAGATAAAAGAGATATTTTATAATTTATAAATATTCATTGGCTTTTTAATTATTTAATAAACTTGTTTTCAAATAAATAAAAAGTAAGAAATAAAGCCCAAAGGCAATTATTTTTATTTTTTTGACTATAAGGACAATAAATATAATCGCGTGGATAAATGAATGAAGATGAATGAATCGTGGATTTTTTTCGAGAAAAAATGATAAAAACAACAGCTAAACGGCTTCTACCACAATAAAGAAAACGCTCTTCGTCTAAACTTGTTTTTCGTTTAAAAATTCTAAATATCATCAATTTTCCAAAATACAAACCATATGGAATATAAATAGCACAACGGACTCACAAATATTTTCTCGATCATTGAAAAAAAATCTGAAAAAGTCGCTACCACTAATATTAATAAAATTACAGGAAAATAGACCATTGATGAGAGTAGATAAATCAGTTGGCAGTGTAGTACCATAGAAAATTAACACTAAGCTAATACTTTTTGGTGGCAATTAAATCGAGTATTTGAGGTCAAAATAAATGAGAATAAGATGACCCTTTTCGTTTAATAAACGTTTGTAAAATATTACTATATATCAATAAAATTTATTAAATAAAATTGCGTCAGCACATTGCACCATTTTTCAGAAATCTTAGAATTGACACACCTTAAATCACCAAAGGACCAATCAGAACTCTCCTTCGAAAAACTGCAGCTAGAAATTTCATACGAAAATTTATGGACATAAATTCAAAAAAAGACAGTTTGAATTTGTTCATTCTCCATCGAATATATAATTTAAAACCCAGTAAGGGTAAATAAACGATACCAATTTTGACTAATCCTGCTTAAGAACGATTTCAATCGCTTCAAACATCTATGGTCATTTTGGCTGCTGTGATATCATCTGTGATAACAATAATATACAATATCAATGCAGATCGCTGATCGCAGAACTGTGACTTATAGGCTCTCAGTCGCTTATCACAAAAAAAAGATAGAATGGCTCAGTGAGTTGTTGCTTAATTGGGAGCGCTGATGCTGAGGTTCGATTCCCCGCAGGAGTAAACCTGTACAAAAATCCGAGTGATGCTGGCGACTCACCTGTATCTCTATCGCCAACGGACTCTCTGGCATATTGCCCAATGCAAGAAGCCAGTGGAGTGAACCAGTAATGGTGAGGACCCTTCAAAAAAAAAAGTCGCTTATCACAGAATTTGCGCAGGTGACCCAGTTATATATGAGCGATGATATTGAAAAAGTAGTCGCTTCTGTCAATTATTAAATAAGATAACAGAGATTGTGAACAGAGATTTGAAGGAAATGCTTAACCTTTAAACTAGCAACGAGCCTTGGCAAATGATCTGAAATGAGCCAAAACAGAGAACTAAAATTGTAAGGTATAAATTTCGGTGATTTTAATAGCCTCTCTATAATCAGTGCTATTTAATCCGATGCCAAAATATGAGACGCATTCAAATTTTCGTTGTTAATTATAAATGAAATGAAATTAAATTAGCTTATAATTATAACCATACCATTGAAGCAACAATCATCATATTCATTCATTGTGTTTACTCTAAAAAGAATTTCTCATCAACTGAGATAAGAGATAAGGAAAGAATCGGTTTTTATCAGCAAATGTCCATCTGCTTATTGATCAATTTTAATCTTATGATCATTGCAAAATCTAAAATTAGAAATTAAGAAAAATATTACCAACTTCGACGAGAAAAAGATCGCAACAATCAGAGATTAAAAGAAAAGAAACTCGTCGAGTTTAAATATCTTCCTACAATATTCTTTTTTAATGCTATATTGAACATATTTCAAATAAAACAGCCTGTTTGAGTACCACGAATTATTTTCAAATTTCTTGTATAATCTATAGATTTTTTATTATTAAATGGAAATATAAATAAAAAAATATATTACAATTAAATTTATAAAATAAAATATATATTTATAAATAAATAAATAAATTTTATAAAAATTGTAATCAATTCAAATAAATTCATAAATTTAAAATTATATAATTGAAATTTATTAATTTAAAAATTAAAATATATATTTTAAAATAAAAATAAAATTTAAAACAAAGAACTTTAATAATTATAAATAAATAATTAAAAATTTTTCACAAATTCTATTAAAACTCGTTTACTTACCGTTAAAATAAAACAAATAAAACAAATGAAACAATATATATATATTTATAAATGATTATCAATAAAAAATTCTTGAAAGGTGAAATTATTTAATAAAAGGTCATCCAATAAATCATAAAATGAAACAATACGCTTATTTCGATATATACGAAAAAAATAAAACTAATCTAATTCGTTTCAATGTCGATAAAATAAGAATAAAAATTTAAAAAATTAAAATTTAAAAAATATAATGGGAAATGAAAAAAATTTTTATATAATTAAAAAAAATAGAAAATAAGAAGGATTTTCAAAAAATTAAAATGTACAAATTCAAATTCATCCAATAATAAAATAACACTAAAATTCTTATAATAGAAAAAAAAAGTTCCACTCGTATTCAACAGAAAAAAACTTATTTGCATTTCAAAAAACCCCCAGGTGATTGTTGGTGACTCATTTAGATTTCCATCGCTAAATGATTTCTTAGCGAAATATCGTCTAGACCGATAAATAAGAGAGTCTAATCAAAAATGATAATCGCACTTTCGAACTAATGAGAATACAAAAAAAAAGAGATGTACTGAGAGTCTAGGAAGAGATACTCATCTTATATTATCAGCTAACAAGGAATTCACTTATACTTCTAGTAGATTACTGCTATATTATGTTATCTAACCAAAGGGTTCTCTCAGCAACTGTTTTTATAATACTTTCTAACTAAGGACTACTGTGAACCTCTCAACAAATGATCCTATATTGCTATTTAAGGGATCCTGTGAAACTTTCATGGTCTCATATTACTTCTCAAGAGAAATAAGAGATTTCTATGGATCTCCTTCTTCTAATAGATTACTGTTATATTATATAACCAAAGAATCTTGAAGACCTCTCAGCAATTGATCTCATATCAATATAACTAAAGGATTCTGTGGATCCCTCAGCAATATAA